TCCGAACAAAAATATATATTTTTAACATTCACTCCACTTTGAACGAAATGACGTTTGGGAAGAGATTAACATAATTAAACACAGGCAGTAAAAATACAGTTTTTAGCCATACCCTGTAACTTTAAAACTACACATCCCATCTTCATAATTACATATTTGGAATCAGCACACTTAAAACATAAAACATAACCAAAAATCAGCCAAATCCATCCAGGGGTTAAAAAGTTAGCTGGAGGTCCCTTTATGACCGACCGCAAGCACATTTTCCTGCCCAAAACAGTTCCATAGATTTGGGTTGTGAGGTCGGTCTATTTCAGGCTGAAAAAACGACTAAGTCCATGGCGAATGGGACTTGGTCTCACTACCTAATAAAACCAGTAGGGGAGAAGGTAGAGCTCAGGGTGTTGTGTGAAATGTGTAGCCGATTTTAGTTCCATGAATTTGGCTACACATACGCTGACCTCGTTGAATGATCAAAGATGGCCGCCGCCACGTGTTCGGCAAACGAACAAAGACCTCCCAGCATTGTCAATTAAGCTGCGGTTAACCGCAGCTTCTGGGAGGTAAATTGCCTGCACACTTCCACTTCTGGGTGGTCTGCCTGTGTGGTACTTGGTTCAGTAAGCCCCATTTACTGAACCAATTGGGAAATAGCCAGGCAGGCACAAAGGGTTTGCACCAGGTCTGGGGACACAGGGGACACCGTCTTAAAGGGGCAGTGTCCCCAACAAGTCTGGGGACACGGCCTTAAAGGGGCAGTGTCCCAATCTTCCTGATGTCCCAAAAAGGTGTTTAAAGGGCCAGCACCAGTCACATAAAGAGTCCATAAGCCCCAATATGCCCACCGACAGTCTTAAAGGGCCATACGCACCAAATAAAAGTGCATACATTTTCACAATCTCCCAGGGGCCATAGTCATGCGGGAGGAGGCTGGCAAGTAGGCTTCTCCACAACCCAGGGAAGCAGGGCAATTTGCCATTTAAAGGGGCCGTTACAAATAGCAGTTTGTAACAAGGTGTCAATCCATATCTGCCAAGTGACCCGATGTAGGGGGACCAGTCCCTATTCTGCTCTGTGTCAGTGTGTATCAGGGAACCTTAGGACAGGTGTCAATCCATATCTGCCAAGTGACCCGATGTAGGGGGAACAGTCCCTATTCTGCTCTGTGTCAGTGTGTATTATGGTCTCTGAGGACAGGTGTCAATCCATATCTGCCAAGTGACCCTATGTAGTGGGACCAGTCCCTATTCTGCTCTGTGTCCGTGTGCATCAGGGGCTCTGAGGACAGGTGTCAATCCATATGTCAAGGTGTCAATATGTCATATGTCAGGTGTCAATCCATATTCATTGTGATTTAGGAATGTTAGGTGATTTCTGCCCTTTATGGATTAAAACCAGACTCTGTATCAACTGTGTAATTTTCCATGGGAGTTTTGCCACGGATCCCCCTCCAGCATGCCACAGTCCAGGTGTTAGTCCCCTTGAAACAACTTTTCCATCACTATTGTGGCCAGAAAGAGTCCCTGTGTGTTTTAAAATTCGCCTGCCCATCGAAGTCAATGGCGGTTCGGGCGGTTCGCGGGTTCGCGAACATTTGCGGAAGTTCGCGTTCGCCGTTCGCGAACCGAAAATTTCGGGTTCGCGACATCACTATTTCAGAGCAAATCAATACATCTGGATAAATACAGTGGTATGCTAACTTATGACAAATTTATCATTAATATATCGTTATCTTATTCCACCTGCAGTTATGGAGTTTTTATAACCATATATTCTTTTAGTTAACTAAGATTTCTAATTATTGAAATCTAACCGAGATTTATCCAGGCATATATATATATATCTGCTATTAGTAAAAATTTAATTAATTAGTTATGTTGTAGATGTTCTTATCGGATGCTCTTCTTATCAGATGAATAAATAGTTCCAGGAATTGAATGCAAGTATGATTATGTATAGAGGTATGCATGTAAAAGAAAAGTGGTGTTGGTTAGAAAGTAATAGGTGTCCAGGAAATTGTTTCTTAAGTTGTTTCAAGAGAGTTTGAATGTGTTCATAGAGTATACGTCTTTGAATGTCAGATTTGAGTGTCAGTTCCAGAGTGTCTCCTCAATGTGTGTCCTCAGTCTGCCCTGGATCTCCCTCTCTTTCCTTTGTCCTTACTTTTAAAGGGCCAAACTTTCTGAACGTCATTAGTAGATTGGCCAGTACGGAACTGTAGGTGTGTCTACCTTTATCTAGTGTTATCTAGTTTTTGGTCAGTAGACTGCTCCCTTACATCACCAAAATTTCTTGTCATGGAAAGGTTTAACTCATTTTGATGATGATTCTTACGTAATTTTGGCTTATCTATAATGATTGTATAACTCAAATTTGCTTTCAGCTTAAAAGGATTTCCCTAGTCTTTGTAGCGGCGATTTCGATCATAATTTAAAATTGACACCTCTTAACCTTAACTTCACCCCATTTCTTACAATGGGACCTTGTAAGATTTAGAAAGTAAAATTAATTACTACGTGTTATCTATCACTGGTGTCTGGCCTTCTGTTAAGCTGTGAGACATTCTTTTTCTATTCCACTAACACTTATTAAATAATATGATATTTCTTCATGAATATTTATCCATGCATGGTCTATATTATTAACATAATACTTATTATGTGTAATTAATATAATAGTAAAATAAGTGTATAGTGTATAATATATAATAATTATGAATAGATGTTTCTCTCTGGGTTGTATTCCACCTCCATCCCTGCTGTGAGACTCATTGCCTTGTTTACATAACGCATTCCTTAGCTCAGACTGAATGGCTGGAGTTACAGAAAGCAAGGAATTATGTGTCTTTCTTAGCCTGAAGATACCAAAATGAAGTCAGCTTTGTTGTGAGTGTGATTGGCAATATACACTTTTAATTTCTATCTTAGCACAAAATGTCTGCCGGTACAAATATACTGACAGGGAGTGGTGGGAGGGAATTTTAAGGGTAGTATTGTGCAAAGACGATGGTATCGCGATGTTGACTTGAAAATTGTATTACTCTTGGAAAAAGAGACACGCTGAGGAAGACACCTGCAGCAACCAAACATGTAACATGTAACCTCATGACTGGTGATGATGATTACACACTTGTCTATTTGTTTTTAAGTTAAATAAAAGTGCTGTTAAATTGTACTATATTGGTGTCCTGCACTATCTGCTTTGCTTTTTGTTATATAGAGGCTCTTCCTCTCCAACTTGGGATTCCACATATTGGAATTTATGAAAATACCATGCATTTCATGGAAGGCTTCTAATACATTTATGTGTGTGAGTGTAAAGATCATCTGTGCACATGTGATGGTGTTAGGGGCAATTATCTGCATCCTACTTTATACCCTTGCTCTATCTCTCTGAGCGGATACAGAGTGAAGGAAAGCACCGTCCTGGACACTTGACGTCTCTCCAGCAATACAAGTGGATATCACGGCAGAGAGAGTTCAGTTTAGCCGAGAACATCATTCAGACGGACGGTAACACCATATTCACTTCTGTTAATCTGCTCATTTGTGATGCCTTGGAAACAAGTATCACATATATTCATGTAAGGGTTCCTTTTGGGGGTTAGTTTTTTTTTAATGTTACAAATAAACAGTGTTACACTATGAGGATTCTTTTTGTATCCTTCTAAAGGTATCATCTTGCTGCTACAAACTACTGTGATCTATATCAGTGAACTGTGCTGCAACGACAAACATTAACCCATTCAACACCAGAGGACTCTGGACATCTACATACACTTTGTCTTAGAATATTTTTTAGATATTTCCATTTTACATTGGGAACACAAGCAAGGTGCAATAATAACCTACAGACACTCAATTATAGTAATGGTTATTAATATTTTTTCTTTATAAGAATACTTATGGAAGCACCCTTTTTTATTTTACTTTAATGGTTTCTCTCACACAGCGCTAACACAATTCTAAGATACATTTTAATGTTCTTGCATGAGGTTATAATGGGGTGTAGTAAATCAATACGTTAATGTCATAATTTTTAGTGTTCGAGGACGTTGGTTCAACTTGAGTAAGGATTTATCAGACGTGCTCAGATCACAAAGGAAGAAGGGCTTTGAAGCAGATTAAAATATTTAGAACAATTGCGGTCTATTTGAGTCATGAAGATCATAAGTTTAGGAGAAGGAACCTGGACTTAATGTAGAATGTAGATAATGCTGTTTGTACTGAAGTGCCTGTGTTCTGTATTGACATTGAAAAAGATGTAACTCATTAATTAGCATGTTAGAGCTTCTTTAGTGTAAGAAAGGGAATTGCAAGCTTATTTTACTTGCTAATGTGCCTATTTTTTAATTTTATGAATCATCTTTTTAAGATCATTCTCTCTCTCGCTCTCTCTGTCTGTAATGTGGTAGCCACAAAGACAGACAGACCAAATCAGACAGAGGCAAAGAGACCCATTGCAGAAACCAGAAAATAAGACATCAAAGAGATTAATGTACTTAATTAGAAGAGCAATTTGCCTCTGGGATTTAATTACCTCTTATCGTTTTAAGACTGATCCCAGGATAGATTACTTACTGGTTAAAATGGCTATAAAATCCTAACTCTAGTAAAGAATCGGATACACTAACTGCAGATCCCTGCAGTGAACCCACGTTGACATTCTGAACTGAATGTTTCAAATAAAGAAAGAACGACACCAATAACTTCACAGAGAAGATGGAAAACATATCCACAATCAGTACGAGTTTTGTTCTTCTTGGACTTTTGGAGATGGAGAAAGTGAAATATCTATGTATTATACTCTCATTTGCAATATACCTTATGACTATGCTCTTGTCCATTGTAATTTTATATAATATCTGGGCTGAAGCAAATCTCCATGAACCTATGTACCTATTTATTTTTAATCTCCTTTTCAATGGGATGTTTGGTAGCACATCATTGTTCCCAAAAATAATAATTGCTTTGTTATCTGGATCTAAAATCATCTCTGTTGCTGGGTGCTTCATTCAATTATTTTGTATACACACATTTGCAACAGTAGAACTATTTACATTTACTGCAATGGCACAGGACCGATATTTGGCTATTGGAGAGCCTTTGAGATACCCAACACTAATGACCAATGGAAAAGCACTGAATTATATAGGTATTATTTGGATAACTGCTATTGTCCTTGTCCTTATACCTGTGATAATGACCATAAAACTTCCTCTGTGTGGTAAAAACATAAACAATGTGTTTTGTGATAACATGTCTCTAGTAAATTTGGCTTGTGGTGACACCTCCATAAATAACATATTTGGAGCAATTCAGACTTTCATTGTATATATGGTTTCTCTGCTGATTATAATGTATTGTTACATAAGGACATTTCTCATCTGTTTAAAGCTCTTGAAAGATGCACATCAGAAAGCTCTCAGTACTATAGTAAGCCACCTGATTGCGTTTTCATGTTTTACAGTTGCAAGTTTTTTTGTTTTCTTGCGTTACAGACTGAACAGTGGGTCTATTCCTTTATTTGTCCATGTTATACTCAGCTGCATGGGCATTGTTACCACTGCCATTGTAAACCCTCTTATTTTTGGAATAATGACAGAAGCTTTCAGAGTGAAAATGATCCAGAACCTATTAAAAATATATGCTCGCTAGAATATTAAAAAAAATTAAAGAATTATTCTAAAAAAGGGTTGCTAGAAAATGTGTAGCTCTCAGAGTATATCTGTACTATGGACACATACAGATATTGGAAAAAAAAGAATGGGGGGGTTTAGTGTATTAGAACCTCTTTTCAAGGGTCAGAATGTTGTTCCCATTGTTTAGTTCACAGATCCAAGTATATCTTAATATATTTATTAAATATATCATTTAAAAGTATTTCCTTACTTCTAGTTTTTCCCTGTAATATTCACCTCTCACTCGATCTGTGAATAAAATAAAAAATTAGTGATTGTCCCATCAATCATCTAGTATTTGGCGCCACAAGGAGAATACTGAATACTGACCTCTTCTACTCCCTCAGAACATGTTTTCATTTTGTGGTTCAGATATTCAAGTTCAACTATATTTCTGCTTAGATTACAGGAATTTTTGCTGACACTCGACTGGGACAATTTTCAAAATAGTTGCAGTTTGGCTGAAACAAATCTACAAATCTACTATCGATATAAACAATGTGTTTTGTGAAGACATGCCTTCAGTAAGGTTGGATTGTGGTCATTCTTCTGTAATAATATATTTGGAGCCATTAAAGCTTTTGTTATACATTGTATTGTTCTGTTGATTGTTTTATATTGCAACGTGTAGATATTTATTAATTTGTTTGAAATTTCTAAAGATGCATTTCTTCTGTCGAGCCATCTGGTTACATGTTCCTGCTTTTCAGTTGCAAGTGCTTTGTTGTTTTTTTTGAATTATGAATTGAACAGTGGAAAAGGGATTCCCTCCAAACCCTTTCAAACAATAGCAAATCGAGAAAGATATGGGGTCTGTTGGGCTATGTTCCACACCTCTACAACACCAGCCGGGTGGGTGTTTTCTGGCAGTACTAGGCTTGCTCATTGAGTGAGAGACATCAGCTAACCCTCACAGCCATTGCCCTAGCCCTTCATTGCATGGCTTAGTTCTGGAAAGTTAATTGAAGCTATTGAAGCTTCTGCATAGAATATTCCAGTATAACTCTGAAGAAGTGGAGGTGGGCAGTGACACCCAGTGGGCCCCAAGTTAGAAGTCAGATTGACTAATTACAATGTGTGGGGGGACCAGGTCCCTCCTGGCACCATAACCACTAAAGGGAGCTTTAGTGGTCATGGTGCTTGTTGTGTTCCATGATGCCACCCCATTCCATGGTGCTTGGAGTGTCCACAACAAACAGTATTTATAAATGGGGAACTCCCTCCCCTTTAGCCTCCTTCGCCAGATAGATAGACAGATAGATAGATAGATAGATAGATGGATAGATGGATAGATGGATAGATAGATAGATAGATAGATAGATAGATAGATAGATAGACAGACAGATAGATAGATAGATAGATAGATAGATGTTTTATTGATTTTTCACTTGTCCTCATGTTTTTCTCTCTACTGTTCACGTCTCACTTGATTTGTGAATAAAATATAAAATCAGCATTTAGTGACTGTCCCTTAGCCACCAATCATCTATTTTTTCCATCAATCATCTAATTTTTGGTGCCACGATCAGAATCAGAACATGGCTCCCCTGCAAAACATGTTTTCATTGTGCGATTTGGTTAGTCTGTAATTCAAGTTGAAGTATATTTCTGCTTAGAATACCAGAGTTCTGCCAGGGAGTTAGGGAAAGAGTTATGGAATAAAGGGTTCAAATTATTCAGAACCAAATGAAAATGTTCTTTGTGGTCTTCAAGCCAATTTTAAGCTTTTATTCATTTTGATTTTATTTTTAAATAAATACAGCCTTGATCAGCTAAGTATTTCTTTTCTACATATAGCTAAAGTAGGGCAACATTTACAGAGTTATTCACTAGACACTGAAATTTGTCTGAATGAAAAAATCCAGTGAAATGGATGGCAATTATCATATTTTATAAAGCCAAATCCATCTGGAAATTGGTCAGTTTCCCTGAAAGAACATACCTACAACATCATATACTCTACAGGGATGTTCTAATGCAAGATTTCAACCTGTCCACCAGTCTGTCTTTTCTAAACTTGTATCCTGTACGCACCAATATTATGAAGCTTGACTTGCATTGTATTGTCATTTCATTTTTCTTTGTTTGTTTGTATGTTTTTGTGCGTCAATCTACATCATGAATGTGAATGATAATGTATTTCTGTACATTTTTTTGTATAGTACTTTAATATTTAACAGGAAGAAGTTAAAAACATGTATGCCACTCTGCATTTTAAATATTGCAACTCCTGAATTTAATTCATTGTAAGTGAACTGACATAAAAAAAACAACAAATTGTTAGATTCTGCTACATTTAGTTTAATGGTGTATCACACGTAGGCCTCTTTTAACCATGACTTGAGATAGCAGTCTATGTTTAGGTCCAAAACACACACACACACACACACACACACACACACACCTTATGAGATTTGTAGCAATTTACAACTTAATACAGAATGGCCCTGTAAAGTATTTCAGAATAAAAACAATACAACAAAATAATAGAGAGTTTGAAAGAAAATAATGTACAAAAAGAGAGGTCCATCAATTAGTTGATTATCTAGGCTACCATATAACTATATCAGCTTCTTCTTCTTACACTCTTTGTGTAAGTGAAGCACCTCAAATAAACACCATATATAGAAAAATGCTCTATGTGCTTAAAGGCAAAATTTGCATAAAATGTATTCATTTTTATTTCTCTAGTGCAGCACCAATATAATTTTTTTGAAACAGGGCTTCATAAAGAGCAACTCTGCAATGCAATACACTTTATATATGCAGTGCTATATATATTTACATATATATGAAGGCTGAGCCTGTAGACGGAGCCTAAACTTGTGGGAGAGGTTACCCGGCCTATAAATACAGGCCTCCCCTTCCTCTGGGCTGATACTGTCTGGTTCAGTGCAGAAACATCTGCCTCCAGTTTAAAGGCCGTAAACACAAACTACCTAACCTCCAAACAAGCTGGTCTTGGCCTTGTGAGTCCTACGCGAGTATTCATTTTACCTCACTGTAGTGAAAGAAAAATCAGCCATGTCCGTCGAATTTCATGGGGCTTTGCCGCATCCGGCCCTACCGTGGCTGCTCAAAAATTTTCAACATTCATTAAACCCGATGTAATTGTATAATTCATCTGTAGCTTCTCATTAGGCCCATATGTGGCCCCCCTGCAGCCAAGTATAGTTATGTTGAGCCATCATTCGGCCTCCACTATCATAAGAAAGTGGAGGGTGTGCTAAACAGTATAAAAACAATCAGTAGAGTAGTAACTGATATCTCCACTTCAAACTCAAATATATATGAATACATGTTGAAAAAGAAAAAACAAGCTAAAAAAATAGTGTAAACATTTTTTATAAATATTTTTTATTGAATATAAAGGCGTAAAGACACACTAAGCAAACTTAAAGTGCAATCTACAACATTTTCCATAATGGTAGTTGTCTTGTTTGTAAGTAACTGGCCACAGCGGTTCATTATCTAGATGATTTTCTATAAATAAAGGAACTGAATATGATATCCCAAATTTTCATGCCATAGCCTTCATCCAATTTTACTTTCCTGGGTATACAACTGAACTTGATATTGAAGTCCAGCCCAGTGCATGCACCTGGGGTTTTCTGTGGAGGGGATATATGTCAAACGCTACTTAGACAACACAGCACCATGTGAGATTATAAATAAGGTTGGTCTTCCTCACTAACAGTAATGAGATTAATAAATTGACGTGGCTGGCAGCAACGCAATCACCTTACCTTGTCCATATACACATATCAGCCAAAACCTTTTCTCAATCACAATTTTGGGTATTCTTCCAAGCACACCCCACGGCTGCCAAATGACCTAACAAAACTACAACATGTCAGGACCTCAACCGCATTAGCTCATCTTATGGTCACGGTAGACTGCTGGCATACGCAGTCCTCTCTGCCAATACCAACCAGGTCAACTAGGTAGGCTGTACATGTCAGTGCTGTGTCCAATTCTGATGCTAATGACCCAAGTGAAGGCACTTTTTGCAGTGGACAGGGTTCATCATGTGCACTCTGACCTGTCTGTAGCTACACATATGCAAAGGTCTCATTTCATAAAGTGAACAAGGCTAAATTGCAAGTAGTGTGCCTTCCGATGCCTTCAGATGCAGGACTCTTTGATCCTTACAGACAGGTCCTTACAATTTGATTGGAAATCAAACATAATTAATTATTTGGTTATTCATCTGAGACAGGAGGAATGTTCCATTCCTAATATAAGTTTAAGTTGATTCATCAAAGTTTGTTACAATAGTAAAGTTTCATGGTTTGGTCGCACATAGACATAGAACCAAAGGAAGGTTGGGATTACCAAATTTATAACAAGCAATTCAATTTATTGCCTCTCAAGGAGCATATGCATGGGTAGACATGGAGTTAAACTTATTTCATAATTGATTATCACATTATTTCAGGGCAGTAAATATGCCTAGAGTTAAGCCCCAGATATACAGATCTACCAACCATATGTGGACAATTTGGCCTGATCTCTTCTATGGGTAATTTATCTAGAGTGGATCCTTTACTAAGCTTTCAGAACATATTACGGAAACTAGATGTATCAACCAGGGTTGTGAAGGGAATATTGACTATTGGTGACAAATTCTCTTTGGCCCTTTTTGAATATTTGACTGATGTATAATAGCTCTACGAGGGATTTTTAAAAACCTACAAAATAGACATGAACACAGGGTTTCTCCAATAGAAAAAAAAAAATTAAAGGACCACTATAGGCACCCAGACCACTTCAGCTTAATGAAGTGGTCTGAGTGCCAGGTCCATCTAGGATTAACCCTTTCTGCTGTAAACATAGCAGTTTCAGAGAAACTGCTATGTTTACCTATGGGTTAATCCAGCCTCTTGTGGCTGTCTCATTGATTTTCACAGTGAGAAGACGCCTGCGTCCATAGGAAAGCATTGAGAATGCTTTCCTATGGACTGGCTGAATGCGCACGCGGCTCTTGCTGTGCATGCGCATTCAGCCGATGATGGCGAAAAGGAGGAGGAGAGCTCTCCGTGTCGAGGAAGCCCGGAAGGGGGAAAACAGGTAAGATTTAACCCCTTCCTCACCATAGATCCTGGTGGGAGGGGAACCCTGAGGGTGGGGGGAACCTAGAGACCCCATACTCGTTTTCCTGGCACTATAGTGGTCCTTTAAGTAGCTTCCCAAAGTAGGAGGCCTAATTTTAATTTGCTACAATATTTATTAGAGACAACATATCATGGGGAATCTATTCCCTCTATTGAGGGATTTGGAGACAACCTTTCAAGACACAGAGTGGATATGTATTATATTAATCTCTATTTCTCTCATTCAATGCACTAATCATCACAAACTACTCAAAAATATTCTATTTAGGTATTTAATGCCTCTGAGGCTCTCCCACATTTAGTGGACGGCCGCTGGTAGCATCCCTGTTGTAATGGGGTGGC